CGATCCCTCCTCTGACAATTGCTGGTTATCGGCAGTACTTTCCTCACGCTATGACAGTGTGAGGAAAGTGCAGCCGATAACCTGCAACTGCATTTACCGGTGATCTGCTGTGTCATTGGACACGGCTGATCACGTGGTAAAAGGCCACTGTGATTGGTCTTTTACCACATCATGTGATAGCCAGGTGCAAACCCCCGGGGGCACGCGGGAGGGCGCGTTCTGGGAGGACGTCATATGACGCCCTCCCAGAACTGACCAGTACAAAAAGCTGTCATGTCTGAGTTTGGGCACCCTTTGGTGCATTGGCAGCCCATTCATAAGGAATACAGTGAAGGAAATAAGTATTTGATTCCCTGCTGATTTTGAATGTTTGCCCACTCACAAAGAAATAATCAGTCTAAAAATTGAATGGTAGGTGTATTGTAACACTGAGAGACAGAATAGAAACAAAAAATGCAAAAGAAATGCATGTCTAACAAATGATGCACTGATTTGCATGTTCATGAGGGAAATAAGTATTTGATCCCTTTAACAAAACATGACTTAGTACTTGGTGGCAAATCCCTTGTTGGCAATCACAGAGGTCAGACGTTTGCTGTAGTTGGCCACCAGGTTTGCACGGGAAGTCACGGGACAGTGACGTAACGCGTGGGTTTGTTAGTGGAGCGTGGTGATAGTCGCCGCCATATTGGTGCACCCTGGAAGTATAAACCCATATCAATACATGTGTTTGAGGCCTGATTTCAACTGATGTGATGTAAGTGTTCATCTGGCATTTCTCCATTAAAGTTTTTGCTTTAAAATGACTACACTATGGGAGTGCTGTCTCTTTCTCCACTGGGGTGCATCTGAGCGGGCTGATGTTCCTGTGAAAAGGATTACCAGTTTCAACACCACTGAAATCATTACGGTTATACGGTGAGGAAGGCCATATTCCTGTGATTGGTTCTATCATCTTGGATATCTATTAAGGGCCCTGGGTGTGTGGGGCCTGAAAGCTGTGTGGCCCCTTGGGGTCTTGGTGAGGAGGCATTTCAGCCGGAGACGGATTGATCATTCATTTCACCCAGTTGCTTTGTTCGTTTGGAGTTGGTGGTCTATTTACATGGACTTTATCCCGATTTGATGATCACTTATGTTTATTTTGATGGTCACTCATTATTTGTTACATGTCACATTGCTTTCATTATTCTTTTTTTGTACTTATTGACGCACGTTTATTTCCACTGTGCGTTTTTCACTGGTATCAATCCTGATTAGAAGGTGCATTTTTAGTTTCATGTACCTTGTATGATTACTTTTGTACATATATTTTTTGATTGTCACAGGTTTCTTTGCACGGCACTTTTTGTGCCATTTTTATTTAGGACGTGTTAGTCCTATTATGTTGAATACATCATTTATGTTCACTTGTTGATTATTGTGCAAGTTGTTTTCATCACAATCCATATTGCACTTAGTTTGCTCTGGTTTCAGGCCTTTACATTTGTATGTATTATTTACGATGCGTTTATAGTTTCATGCATTTATACCTTTATGCACCTTGTATGATTAGTGTTGCACATATTTTTGCCATTTGATTTTGGCACAGTTTTCTTTGCATGGTGTTTTTTTTGCACTTTCATTTAGGATGTGTTAGTTCTATTATGTTGAATACATTATTTATTTTCACTTGGTGACTATAGTCATGTTGTATTTCATCACAATCTATATTGCACTTAGTTCTGGGTTCAGGCCTTTACATTTTTATGTATTATTTATGTACACTTTCTGATTATTAATCACATTGTCTTTGCCACAGTTTATATTGCACCTAGTTAGGTCTGGATTCAGGCCTTTATACTTATTACCTCTGTTTTGAGGTTATATTTTTTTCTGTCTCCCCACTCTTCGATATATTGTGTCCTTATTACTATTGATATTAGCACAACACCATTTTATTTTTGTTTCCTTGTGCTAGTGGTGTCTAGGTCTAGGTATAGGTGTTTGCAGCTTTTTTTAATAGTCCTATCTATACCTATAGCAGCGCAGAAAGTTTTTTTTCTGTTATTGTAGTGCTGGAAACATGCTAATGGGCTCCTAACATTGCTGAGAACTTCTGCACCAGTGTTGTCTGTGTTACTGTGTCACCGATACCATATTGTTTGGAACTGTAAGGGCTCGTTCACACTAGGCTGTTTTGCCAACGCTTGCCAAACGCCCCTATAGCGTTTGGCAAGCGTTGGTCCGGCGTTTGCGGAGCATTTTTTAACGCTCGGCAAACGCTCCGCAAACGCCGCATGCGCGGTTTAGCGGCGGTTGCTAGGCGTTTGCCGAGCGTTAATAACGCCCCCACAAACGCCTATAATGCAGTTTGAGTGGTGTTACCGCTCCGCAAACGCCCCGCAACCGCACCGCAAACGCCGGCCGGGCGTTTGCGGAGTGGCACCATAGACGAGAATAGGAGGCTTCAAAGCCTCCTGACTCGTCCAGAGGCGTCCGTTTTGCCGCGACGCAACGCGACGCGACGCAAACGCTCCCGTTAGAACAGCACCATGTGCTGTAATGTGCAGAATTGGCAGAGGCGTTTGGGAAGCGGTAAAAAACGCTTCCCAAACGCCTCTCTGCCGCCTGCACCAGTGCACACAAGGCTAGTGTGAACGTAGCCTTAAGTCAAGTACCTTATCTCTGTTACTCAACCAAATAATAATTGTGCCACTTTCCTTGATCTGCGTGTGGCATTCTTCCATATTGGGTACCAATCAACATGCACCGCACACCAGTAGTTGTGTGCTGACACAGTTGCTGGTGTGAACAGGTCTTCAGAACACCTGGGTAAACAGGATGAACATTCATTAAAAGCAAAAACTTCCCGGAAGTTCTACCAGTGCCTGAGGCACATTTAGGGCACATTGCCATTAAATTAAAATGGTTGTAAAGGCTAGACATTTTTTTTTGCCTTAATACATTCCCCGCATTAAGGTAACAATTTCCCAATGTTTATATCAAACCTACCCCACCCCCCCCCCCCATACTTACACAAGTCCTCAATCGATCACGCTCTGTGCCTGTCTATAGTGGGTCTCTCCTTCCTTTCCCTGCATCTACAGGACAAAGCAAGAGCCTTTGGCTCCTACTTTTGCCAATCAAATCCTGTGAGGAGGGGGCGGGGCTGAGCTTTGTATGTCTGCGGACACACACAGCCCAGCTTGGGAGCGGTCCCGCAAGTGTGTCTCCATAGCAAGTCGTTTGCTAAGGGGGGACACACAGAAGATAAGCTGAGAGTGCAGGCGGGGGGACCCCAGAAAAAGAGGATCAGAGGCTGCTCTGTACAAAACCATTGCACAGAGCTGGTAAGTATAAACCTGTTTGTTATTTAAAAAAAAGACTTTACAATCACTTTAAAATGATTGTAAAGAATAACATTTTTGATTTGTAAAAATAACAAACGTTATACTTACTTGCTCTGTGCAATCGTTTAGCACAGAGCAGCCCTGATCCTCCTCTTCTGGGGTCCGCCACCTGTGCTCTAGGCTCCTCTCACCTGCCAAGTGCCTCCATAGCAAGATGCTTGTTCTGGGGGAACTTGTGCGTGCTCGCTCCTGAGACGGCTCTGTGTGTCCATAGAGACACAGAAAGTGCAGCTCAGCCCCACCTCCACTCCCTCCTTATTGGCTGTGATTGACAGCAGCAGGAGCCAATGGCCAACAAAACACATTCTGAATGTTATGTTCTCTGATCAGACAAGGTGGAGAGGCTGGGCAGTGACATCACCACCTCCAACCTGTCCAATCAGGGAACACTCTGCATTCATTGAGAAAATGCAGTGTTCTCTGAATAATGCCCGTGCTAAGGGAGCAACCTGCTGTAAGTAAGCAGCAGTGTGGCTGCTCATCACGGGACCCGGAACCTAGTGGCGATCACTGGATTATCAGTGTCTACTACAGTGATTTCCAGCTTCAACTGGGACTCCACAAGTATGTCACATACATACTTTTATTGATCTAATGTAAAAATGACCATACCTGAGCTCAGTTCAAGAGGGTTTAAACCTCAGGCATGAAATGTGAACAAAGTGCATTACTCAATAATGATTGCTTGTGTCAATCCAGAGCATTAAGTGTCAGTTCTGTTCCGCTGTCTCATTCCTCTGCTATCTGCATGAGTCACTTCTCACAAGTTTTCTTAACACAGAGCGGTCAAAAGATGACAGAGGAGGGAACTCCATCACACAGCCTGCGATTGACAGCCTCAGGTTTGTCCCTGTGTGCTGTGTGAAGTGGAGTGTGCCTCTTCCCTACAGTCTGCTTTCAGAACTCTCCTCCTTGAGCTCTGGAGAATGTAACTTCAGCTCCCCGCTCCATGTTTGCTGGAATCTCAGACAAGCTTTATAAATTCAGCACTTTGAACAGCTGCAAAGAAGAGAAGACTGCAGATAAACAGGTAGAACTTATGCAGGAAGATTTATTTTATCTCTGTGTATCACCTGAGACCAGTCACTTCACTGGGTATGTGTAAGGGTTTACAGCCTCTTTAAACAATAATAATATACAAAGGCAAATATTTCGAGGCGTGTGGCCAAACTAGGAAATACAAATTTCTGCTTTTTTGTCTAGCAATAAATCACAATAGCACCATGTCCATTGAGCTGTGTTAACCTGCACTGATCAATGCAAGGACACATACAAAACAATTGCTCCTTCTGTGCCCTATTCATATAGGTGTATTGTGGTGTGTTGCACAAGAAAACACAGCATGTATCCACTACACAAAGCACAACAACAATGCATTACAATGCAACATGCTGTTGTTCATTGAGTTGAATTAACTGTTTGTTAACTTTTAATAAAGTTTAAAAAAACTGAAATATTGCAATGTATTGTTACAACACATCACAGCAGGGGTACACAATGCACACTATCTGGCGCACATTATGCACATCACAACATATGGCCACTGACGTGAATGAGACCTTAATGTAAGTTTGTTCACAGTTGGAACCAGGGGCAGACTGACAACTCATGGGGCCCCCGGGTAATAGGGGATCATGGGGCCCCTGTGTCCTTGCCCAAACTCAAAAAAGCCTATGAAAAAGGTACCAGGGGCATCTCATGGGGCCCCCTACTGACCCCGGGCCCTCGGGCAGTGCCCAAGTTTCCAAATGGTCAGTCCGCCCCTGGTTGGAACACATAGTGGCAGCATAGTGGAATGATTCAGATTTTATTTGTGGTTGTAGTACAAGGGAGAGAGGATATATCCCACAGTCTGAGGCTACTTCATCTAACACCAGACATGCTGAGGAGGATGCATCTCTTCTAAAACTGTAATGGGTTTATGCTAAGTGGCATTTTAGCTTGTATATAATGTGTCATTCATCAATCCATTCCTGATATCAGATTTACATTTATTTCAATGTGTCTCTAAACCCAATAACAAAAAATGTAATGTAATATATTGCAACTTGACAGTCCTTAGATGTGGTGGCTGCATTAGTTTTCCCTTTTTCACGATTGTTTCCCTAAATTTTCACCTGGTGATTCTGCCGTTAATATACTTCCTGTTCTAGCATGACAACGCTCACTCAGTCATTTATTTACTGTAAATGTAGTACCCCTCTAGTTTAGACAGGGGGCGCTACCTAGGTTTTTTTAGTTAGCAGCCTGGTATTAGTCAGCCTGTGATAAGCCAGCCAGGTTACTGTAGGCTAGGTTCACAGCTATGCAATTTGCGTTTGATACATTTCTGCAGTGTGTTTTGCATTTTTTCACGTGTTTTTGACGAATTTTTGCCGCGATTTGCGGGGTTTTTTATTTTTTTTTTGTTGCTAGGCAGATTAAAATGCAAAATGCATAAAAAAAGTAGCAAAATGCAGCAAAAACACACTACATACTTTTCTGCACCATTTCCATTGAAGTCTATAGAACCAAAAACGCATCTTTTTCCATTTAAAAAAGTCCCTGAGCCTTTCCAAAAAATACACCGGGCAAAAGCGTGGAAATGTGTCCCATAGTAAATCAGGTTAAATGGACTGTAGTGCATTTCTGAAAAACGCTGTGGAAAACACTTAGGTGTGAATCTAGGGTTAGGTCAGGGCTGAGGGCTCTGCAAGTCAGATCCCTGATATCTCCCCCTGCTCTAGAAGCTTGAGAAGTTTCCAGAAAGCAGTGGGTGAGGCTGAAGAGGGGCTAATTTGCATACTCAAGGGACTCAATCCCCAAGCAGGAGGCTTGTCAAGGGGCAGGGCAGCCCTTAAATATAGGAGAACCTGACCAGGAAGTGGTCAGTGGAAGGTGGAAGATGATGTGATAAGACTGGAGTGTGGAGCCTGGGAAGGGGCCCGGGGGGGGCTTACCTGCAGGCAGGATCTTGGAAGGATAATCTCTCAGCCTCAACCATTCCCTGAGAGAGGACAGCCTGGGAATTAGGGAAGGAGCCAGCTCAGCATAAGGCCTGTAGGCAGCTACCAACCCATGAATTTATAGGAGAGGACAGAGTGAGTAATCCCACATCCCCTGGTCAGGATAAGAGGAGAGGGCAGTCAGGTGGCAAACCCAACTGGCTCCTTGTCTGGGGCTGGTCTACTACAGTGGCAGTTTCTGGGTTCCCTTGCTCAGGGATTCCCTCAGGCAGCTGGGTGAAGTGGAGTATTCATCTGGGGTCTGAGAAGGTACACCAGAAGGACTGGAGAGCTCTTCAAGGAGGGACTATTTGTCTATGGAAGTGTACAGAGTTGCTAAGGAGATTTGCCGTCATGTTCACAGTTCCTTGGGCATCCCATACACCCCTCAACCCCATCCAAGTTCAATACCGCTTAATAAAATCACAGAAAACAAGCTCAAGGACTGTCTCCAGTGTGCAAGTGTTGAAGAAAATGTGTGTTGCCTGGCTGTGCAGGACTATAGGGGGACCCAAAACTCAGTGACTCCTAAGGGGGTAGCAGGGGTAGACTGACCATTTGGAAACCCGGGCACTGCCCGAGGGCCCGGGGTCAGTAGGGGGCCCCATGAGATGCACCTGGTACCTTTTTCATAGGCTTTTTTGAGTTTGGGCAAGGACACAGGGGCCCCATGATCCCCTATTGCCCGGGGACCCCATGAGTTGTCAGTCCGCCCCTGGGGGGTAGTGCTACATATCTATAGGGGAGCTGCATTGTCAGCCTAGGATTCTCTCCAGATGTAGAATACAAATACCACCCTATCTCCCCATCTCCATTAAGAATGGAGGATTAACAGGAGAAATGAACACAGGACTGCTAAACTGCAATACATTATATTTAGGATAAATGTTAAATTCGTGCCAGTACCAGTGGACACCAGCAGAGGGAGGCAAAGCACCATAGCATTTAGCAACACTTTCAGCTGCTTGCTCTAACAAAATTTCCAACTTTTGAACTCCAGGTCGGGTTGTTATTGCATAGTTATATTGATCTAGTGTGGAGCAATGTAAGCATGCATACTGCATACCCATGAGACCTCTGTGGTAGCAGAAAATCAGTGTAGTAGTCAATGCTACTACAGTGGTCACCATAATCTTCTAGGTCCCATTGCGAGCTGCTGCCCTTTGGCATAGTGAAGATCACAGAATGTCTTTTTTCAAAATGTTTTCAATTTTTTTTTCAATAAATGTAAGGCGGTGATTCTGATTTGATAGGGTGGAGATGTGGGGTAGTACGGCAGGTATAGAAAATGCATACTTACATTGGACTACACTGGACCAAAATAATTATGCGCTTAATTGGAGTTCAGCTTTAAAGTGGTATTAAACACAAAAGCAAACATTTATTATTTTGCAGCTTACCGATTTTTTTTAAAAAAAACAAGCTCTCCTCCAGATGTATCTGTTTACAGCAGTTATACAAACCATTTACCACTGACAGGGGTGCTTACAATGATCAGCTTTTATTTATGTATGTAAAACCTTTATCCCAAAAGAAAAAAATTGTTATTTGTAACTGCTTATAAAGTGTTAACTGGAGTTTGTCTTCAGTTTGTTAGTGTATTTAAATCTGCTAGTGATCTCCTCCCCCCAGACTGGCAATGATCCTGTCCAAATGTGTCCCCTGTGCACATTCTTCCAGATTGATGGTTACTCTAATACAAGAGACGTGTTAGTGGTCAGATCGCCAGGTGAAACAGAGGGAAAAAAGAAAGCTAATGCAGCCACCACATCTAATGACTAGTTAAGCTGCAATATATTATATTTTTGGATTTTGGTTTAATACTGCTTTGAAGTATATGGAATGCTAACAATGAACTTCACTTATTTGCTGCCTTTTGATCAGTTTATTATACCATTGGAGGCATTTTGTTATATCTGTTTAACTATTTGCCAACCCACCACAGTAGTTTCACTGTGACAGGGCAGCAGCTACAGTCACCGTGACTTACTGGTACGTCACTGTCTGTTTCCAGGCTTGGGGGTGCGCCCCCGCTTGCTTACTCCCCTGTGATTTGACACAGTGGGAGTTCATCAACAGATCCCAGCCAGTAATTCACGGCCGGTACCAGCTGATAGGCTGTGTCAAATCACAGCCCAGAGCCCTTGTTGATAAACAACACAGAGCTCTATACGGAGACAGTGATTGCTTTGGTTATTTTCCCTGATAAGCAGGGAAAATAAATAAATTGATCTGTATTACAAAGCAGCACACATTAAACACATTATCACTTGCTAGGCACACAAATATCCCCTTGCTTGGTTATATTAACCTCTTCCCAGCCAGTGTCATTAGCACAGTAATATTTTTAGCACCAATCACCAGGGGCGGACTGACCATTTGGGCACTTGGGCACTGCCCGAGGGCCCGAGGTCAGTAGGGGGCCCCATGAGATGCCCCTGGTACCTTTCATAGGCTTTTTTGGGTGTGGTTTGAGTGTGGGCGAGGACACAGGGGCCCCATGATCCTGTATTGCCTGGGGGCCCCATGAATTGTCAGTCCACCCCTGCCAATCACTGTATTAGTGTCACTGGAGATCTCAGTGTCATTTAGTCAGTTCCCAAAAAGTGTTAGATTGCCTGCCGCACAGTCCCGCTGAAAGACACTGATTGCCACCATTACTAGTAAAAAAAAATAAATATTTTTCAGTATATATCCCATAGTTTGTAGATGCTATACCCTTTCATGCAAACCAATTATTATACACTTATTTGGATTTTTTTTTTACTAATGACATGTAGCAGAATACATTTTGGCCTAAATTTATGAAGAAATTAGATTTTTTAAAATTTTTTATTGAATATGTTTTATAGCAGAAAGTAAAAAAGATATATTTTTTAAATTTACGGTCTTTTTTTGTTTATATAATACAAAATATAAAACCCCAGTGGTGATCAAATACCATGAAAAGAAAGCTTTATTTGTGGGGAAAAAAATATAAAAAATGTGGTTTGGGTGACAGTTAAAGTAATGCATTAAATAGCAAAAAGGCCTCTTTGTAAAGGGGATAAATTCTTCTTAAGTGGTTAACAGTTTGAAAGTAATTTGTCCCATGTGTTTAATTGCGTGTATCTAAATTAGCAAAAAATCAACAAACAACAAATGGATCTAGCTTTTTGACAATTTTTCATGAAATGGCTTAACAGCAACTGAAGTGTACGAACTTTAAAAACAAAAAAATCTTTTGGCTTCCAAAATCTTACGGTCCTCAAAGGGTTAGTAAATGCACAAAAAGACTCTGTTGATCTGTCCTCTGTACTCTTCTTGTGTTGTCTCATCATTTTGTTCTTTTTCTTGGACTACAGAATGGTTGGCCTTTATGTTGTAGATCTAAGAAGTGGAGTGGTGGAGTAGTTTAGCAAAAGTCACTGGGCACTGATGACAGAATTCCAAAAAAAAATGCTGTGTGTTGCCAGTCTATAAGAGGACTTAGGAGTTGATTTGTGGCAGGACAACAGGTATTTTTCTGTACCTGTCTTTAAAGGTATAAAACGGTGAAATGTGTATGCATTACAGAGATGTACTGCATGTTTTTTTAATTTTTATTTAACCCCAATCCCTGAGTGCCGTTCACCTGGGATAATACTTTCCTCCCCAATTCAGTGATCTTTCCTCCGAAAGAGTGTGGGAGCTGGGACCTTCATACAGCGCATTTGCACCATGTCCCCATTCCATTCAATGGGTAAGCAGTACTCTGAAGGACCACTAGAGACCACCATAGGAATACCCATAGGAACAAATGGGGCTATTGTACCATGTGCAGTACAGTATAAAGAGAAGCAAGCAGAGACTGTGTTCAAGGAAAGAACATTGGGTCAGAGAGGAAGAAGTAAGCCCACAGAAGATCACAGAGGGGCTGCATTAAGGGGGTGGGGGGTTTTTTAAAGGACAAAACTACGTTGTCCTTTAAAGTTTACATGTAGCCCAATTTTTTTCACATTTCGGAAGGAGCAGGGAAGAGTTTATACCTGTGTCAGTTTATTTTTATTTTTTTTTTTATGTCAGTGTCCCAATTGGGACATTTCCAATTTACTTCCTATCCCAGTAGGAAACAAGAAAAATCTTTACAAAATGGGGGGAAATCCCCTGGAAGATGCCACTTTAAAGCTGGGTATACTGTACACACAGATCTATTTTTTTTTTTCCATTCAATTAGCGGGTATACAAAAAACAAACAAAAAAAACATCCTCACCTCCACAAAAGTGATGTGGATGCAGGGATCTTCCCTGCTGAGCTATTGTATTCTGACAGCAGGACCTTCCCTCTCCTCAGAATACACTGAACAGCGCTGCAGCCATTGACAGGATTGCTGATTGAATGCTGGTTTTCCAACAGGGCCATTCAACAGAAGCAATTTAGCAACCATTTTTGTAAGCTTGATATTTTCTTTTTAATTAGAATGATATAAGATATTAATACTAATTGTTCTATCTCTATTTTGGACAAACTAGCACTCTTCTAAATTTCCTCTAAATGAGTTCTCCCCCCCCCCCCCCTCTATGATTGGCTATGTGATAAAGTGACAAATCTTTACTTTAGGAGTTTGCCCCTTGAGACACTTAGCATGTTAGTACATTAGGACAACCATTTACAACCAGGTTTCCATGGAATCCTAGGGTTCCTCCAGAGGTTTCTAGGGGTTCAATGAGCAATGGCTGAGTGACAACCCTCCTCCACTTCCCCATTTGGTGGTGTCTACATGGCCAGAGCCAGCAGCATGACATCAATTATCTTTTTAGCTGACTGCAATCTTCCCACTGACCATCACTGAAAGGGACATTCCTCCAACTGACCACCAATGTAAGGGCCATTCTTTCCACTGATGACTAATGTAAGGAGCATTCCTCACATTGACCACTAATGGAAGGGGCATTCTTCCCACTGATCACCACTGAAAGGGACATTCCTCCCACTGACCACCAATGTAAGGGCAATTCTTCCCACTGACGACCAGGGGCGGACTGACAACTCATGGGGCCCCAGGCAATAGGGGATCATGGGGCCCCTGTGTCCTTGCCCAAACTCAAAAAAGCCTATAAAAAAGGTACCAGGGGCATCTCATGGGGCCCCCTACTGACCCCGACCCTCGGGCAGTGCCCGAGTTTCCAAATGGTCAGTCCGCACGTGCTGATGACTAATGTAAGGAGCAGTCCTCACATTGACCATTAATGGAAGGGGCATTCTTCCCACTGACCACCACTGAAGGGACATTCCTCCCACTGACCACAAATGTAAGGGCCATTCTTCCCACTGACAACTAATGTAATGAACATTCCTGATATTGACTACTAATGGAAGGGGCATTCTTCCCATTGAGCACCACTGAAAGCACCACTGACCACCAATGTAAACAGCATTTTTTTCTCACTGACCACCAATGTAAGGGGCATTCTTCCCACTGACCACCAATGTACGGGGCATGCTTCTCAATGACCATCACTAAAAAGCGCATTCTTCCCACTGTAAGGGGCATATATCCCACTGACCCCATTGCAATGATGCATTCTTTCCATAGATGTAAAGGGATTCCTCTCTTACGATTTAAAATGTAAGGATTAATTTCTCCACCCACCAGCAAAGTGAGGGTCATCTCTCCCACTAAACACAATGTAAGAGGACCCTTTACTAAACATCACTGCAGTGAGGCATTTCTCTGATGACCGTCAATGTAACCAATGTAACAAAGTCTGTCTAGATTTTTTCTCTGGTCTTTTATTTTTGCATTTTTGAAAATTATTTTGATTACATAGAGCAAGAGAAGGGGGCTAAACAATGATCCACTTTAGGTGTTAATTACTCCAGGTACACCAGCTCATGAGCCATAAGCTGCAGATATTATTATTATTATTATACAGTATTTAGATAGCGCCAACAGTTCGCTCAGCGCTGTACATTACAATGGGAGACAATACACTAGACAGTACAATAGCAATACAATGCGATACACGAGGGGTTCGAGGGCTCTGCTCCTTGGAGCTTACAATCTAGGAGGGAGGGGATAGTGGTATGGGAGGAATAGCTGTGGGGGATGGAGTGGTAGGAAGAGTGGAGGAGATCGGCAATTAGCTGAGGGCGGGGTAGGCTTCCCTGAAGAGGTGGGTTTTCAGGGTGCGCCTAAAGGAGAGGAGAGTAGGTGATAGTCTGATGGATTGGGGTACGGAGTTCCAGAGGATGGGTGAAGCCCTGGAGAAGTCTGGAGACGGGCATGGGAGGAGGAGACCAGGGAGGTCTTGTGAGGAGCAGAGAGTACGTATTGGGTGGTATTTGGATATCAGGTCGGTGATGTCGTTTTGGGCAGTGTTATGGACAGCTTTGTACGTCAATGTTAGCATTTTGAATTTGATCCGTTGGGCAACTGGAATTCAGGATCGACTGAAGTGGGGGATAGCCTGGATGGACTGAAGCTAGGCCGGTGAGGAGGGAGTTGCAGTAATTGAGTCGTGATATGATAAGGGAGTGAATGAGTTGCTTAGTAGTTTCTGGGGTTAGGAACATGCGTATTTTGGAGATGTTGCGGAGGTGGAGTCTACATGAGTTTGACAGCGATTGGACCCGGGGCTGGAAGGACAGATTGGAGTCTAGGATGACAACAAGTACTCTGTTTTGTGGGGTGGGACTGATGGTGACATTCTTTGGTCGTGATGGAGAAGTGAGGGGGGGGGGGGGGGGGCGCAGGCTGGGAGGAAAAACTAGGAGATCGGTTTTGGAAAGGTTCAGTTTGAGGAAGTGGAGCGACATTCAATCCGATATGTCGTTCAGTAGGCTAGTGATTCGGGTGGAGACTGAATGGGTGAGGTGAGGGGTAGAGAGATAGATTTGCGTGTCGTCGGCATAGAGATGGTAGTGTGAAGCTGTGAGAGTGAATCAGTTGGCCAAGGGAGGAGGTGTAGATGGAGAAGAGATGGGGCCCGAGGACACAGCCTTGGGACCCCAACAGAAAGGGGGAGTGAGGGGGAGGTGGCAGCGTTCTAGGTAACCCTGAAGGAGCGAAGTCTCTGAGGCCAAGAGAGTGTAGTTTTTTGAGGAGGAGGGGGTGGTCGACTGTGTCGAAAGCCACGGAGAGGTTGAGGAGTAGGAGCACTGAATAGTGGCCATTAGCTTTGATATAATAGTTTTATCAGAGGTTTCCTGAGACCTGGACATTTCTTCAAAGGTTTCTCTGGAGTAAAAATGTTGAGAAAGGCCACATTAGGAAAACCTGATCTGTTTATGCAAATTCTTAGTGTAACATTACAATAGATGTAAGCATAGGCCCATATGAATGACATATAGCTAGCCAGAGCACTGTATTAGAAAATGCCATTTTAAAAATAAAATTCTTGTTTAGCCTTATTTTCATCTGTTTCATGTCAGTGTTGAGGATCTCCTGTAGCCTTTTTGCAGCTACTTCCTCCCTATATGACCTCCTGCAAAGGCTGTATGGCATTTCTCAGGATGGTGACAACAGCACACCATGCCTGCATATTGGGTGTTCAAACAGCCACTTGTAGTCCCATATGAGGTCCATGTAACAGGGTGACATCCACTTGTAGAGAGTGCTGTCCCCTGTATCAGGAAGCACCTGAACAAGAACCTTCGGTGACATTTGAAGGTGTATTAACATGTTAAATGATATATGACATTTTTTGTTACTCAGACTGGGAGTGGGAGGCACAGCACTGTGAGCCACCCAGAATATTATTATTAGTCAGGATATATATAGCGCAAACAATTTGTGCAGCACTTTATAACATGAGAAATCGTTATAGCTTAGGATCTTAAAGCTCTCCGCTGCACTCACGTGCTGCCAGGGACATGCAGAGAGGAGGAGAGGGCAGAGTGAGCAGGCTTCAGGCTTCATAATGTATCACTGTGTTGCTGCTCATTCCTTGTCCGGTCACCATGTTGTGGAAGGGGAGATGACACCACCACTAAAGCATGAGAACAGAATTAAAAATGTTTTTGCAAATAAGACACTTGATAGGTATGAATGTTCAGATGTGCAATTAGCTGTTTGGCCAAAGTCCAACTTTAAGGTAACATAAACGCCTTTAAAGCTGAGTACACCTTAATGTATTCACTGTATAGGGATTTGACTTGTGTACTCCTGATGTGGCTGGGAGGAGGCTGTCTGTAATCAGGAGATGTTTGGGACAGGTTCACTCTTCCCTCTAAAGGTGTGAAATAAAATTATCCAGATCAAAGAGCCTTAATGGAAGATCTCCCATAATACACAGCTGTGGTGCAATCCACCAATCCACATCCAGAAGCCATTGTCTGGGACCTGATTTTGTCACTCAGTCTGATATCTTGTAACCCATTCATTGCTGGACTGGTAAAGGCCTATACTTCCACCTAACAAATTAACTTTTATTTCTTCCATCAGCTTTTTGTACTGCTTGTCCTGCCCCTATTAGATTGTAAGCTGTTATGAGCAGGGCTCTCTTAACCCTCTTGTAATTTATTGTATTGTATCTGTACTGTCTCCCTTTATACTGTTAGCACTTTAAAAAATTATTTTTATTATTAAAAAATATACATGGTCATCAGAATGGATACAATCTAACACAACTCCAACCACTCACATAGCTCAGGGCATTAAAGCTAGCCATACATGATTAGAAAATCATTTGAAAAAACAGTTGTCATTTGATAAACATCTGTCAATCATACATGTGATAATGCCATTATTGTATCAAAATTTTCTCCCCAATTGTCGACATTTTATTGATCGTTAACAACATAAATGGTACATTTTTTTGTTGATCGGTGGAAATGATGTAAAGACTTTTTTGACCTTTGTGGACCCTCCAACTCACCACTGTATTTAAAAGAAAGATCTTTCTTTTTGTTGCTTGTACTTCCAGGGTTACAGTTTAACACGCACATGCGTTTTTTTTAAACTGTTTCCACTACTAACATTTAGAAAATCGATCGTTTATGGTACAAAAATCCGACATGATGGTTTATTTTTCTGCCATAAAACTTTGCATTTCGGGAATCGAAATGAGCCCACGGATGTTTTGAATGTCACACGATCGAGTGTATGTTTAAACGTCAAATGATTTTCTAACCGTGTATGAGTTTACTGATCTGTATGCTCAAAGCACATCAGTCCCCGAGGATGCCCTCATTGTTTGAGTGGGTATACCCCAATCAGGTAGATCAAAACCTTGTCACAGACAAGTAGACCAAATCTCTGGTGTAACTCATAGTAACCCTATTGGTCATATATACACATATACAGTACCTCACAGACGTGAGTACACCCCTCACATTTTTGTAAATATTTGATTCTATTTTTTCATGTGACAACACTGAAGAAATTACACTTTGCTACAATGTAAAGTAGTGAGTATACAGCTTGTATAACAGTGTAAATTTGCTGTCCTCCCAAAATAACTCAACACACAGCCATTAATATCTAAACCACTGGCAACAAAATTGAGTACACCCCTAAGTGCAAATATCGAAATTGGGCACAAAGTGTCAATATTTTGTGGCCACCATTATTTTCCAGCACTGCCTTAACCCTATTGGGCATGGAGTTCACTAGAGCTTCACAGGTTGCCACTGGAGTCCTCTTCCACTCCTCTATGATGACATCACTGAGCTGGTGGATGTTAGAGACCTTGCGCTCCTCCACCTTCGCTTTGAGGATGCCCCAGTGATGCTCAATAGGGTTTAGGTCTGGAGACATGCTTGGCCAGTCCATCACCTTTACCCTCAGCTTCTTTAGCAAGGCAGTGGTCATCTTGGAGGTGTGTTTGGGGTCGTTATCATGTTGGAATACTGCCCTGCGGCCCAGTCTCTGAAGGGAGGGGATCATGCTCTGCTTCAGTATGTCACACTACATGTTGACATTCATGGTTCCCTCAATGAACTGTAGCTCCCCAGTGCCGGCAGCACTCATGCAGCCCCAGACCATGACACTCCCACCACCATGCTTGACTGTAGGCAAAACACACTTGACGACAGCCATGCAGACCAATTTGATGCGGTGTGCGGAGTATGGTCTGAGAACTGACAGGCTGACCCCCCCACCCCTTCAACCTCTGCAGCAATGCTGGTAGCACTCATACGTCTATTTCCCAAAGACAACCTCTGGATATGATGCTGAGCACGTGCACTCAACTTCTTTGGTCGACC